AATATTTCCTCCAAGGCAAAGTGTAGCAACTCAGGCCAAGCTGTAAAGTTTAATTATATTGGTACATGGAGCCAGGATTCAGGTATTAGATATTTGGAATTTATATTTGTAGAAAAAAGTCACAGGAAATTATATTTTCAACCATTTTTTGCACACTTTAATTATGTCAAAAATAATTTTAGCTAGTTTTTTTAATGTTTAATTGTTGTTTTTTTTAGAGAGTGGAAGGGAGTCGGGAGACAGAGAGAAACGTCAATGTGGGAGAGACACATTGATTGGTTGCCTCCCGCACGCACCCTGACCAGGGCCGGGGATCCAGCCTGCAACCTAGGTACTTGCCCTTGACTGGAATCGAACCCATGACCCTTCAGTTTGAGGGCCAACACTATCCACTGAGCAAAACCAGCTAGGGCTTAGCTCGTTTTTCTTTTCTTTTTTCTATAAGAAAAGGAGTATATCTGTGTTTTAAAAAGAGTATATTCTCTCTTATAGTAATGTCAGTATATAAAAGGGCATGATATATAAACATCTTTCCCATAGCACCGTTTATAACCCAAGCTGTGGATTTATCCTTATGCCCTGTGGGGGCTGGCAAGGTCTGTTTTATTATTTCCAAGGTTTGAGGTGTTTTGAAAATCATCTAGTTCCATTTCCTTGTTTTATAGATGGTGAAGGGAAGGCCCAGGAGATAAATTTAACCCAGTCAAAGTCATTGAAGAAGAGGAAAGAATAGTGTAAAATCACACTCCTAGAAAATATCTTCCTTCATAATTAATTTGAAAATTCCATGTCTAATCTGGAACTAAATATATTCTGTAAAAGAAAATTCTTTGAATACCATGGATAATGCATTCTAATATCTAACAACCTTTCTAGTCAGAAGTGTCATTCTTGAGTGTAATAACCTCTTTTCATGCAAATTAAGCTTATTTCCACTTGTTAGATGCTTAATAGAGATGGATGATAGGCACTTTAGTAATTACAATCACGCACATGTATTATAATACTTTTTAATGTTAACTTATTCTCCATTATTTTCTTTGCATGCATTAAAGAATCCAACACCTTTAGTTTTTGAACATATGTCTTTGCTTCCCTTCCCTAGTAGCTAAGCCAGATATTTGGATATCATGATTCACTCCTCTGTTTTTTCACTTTCACCTCCATTTAATTACTAGGGTCCTCTAGGTTTTACTTCCTAAATAACCCTTGACTCTCCCATCCTCAATATCACCACTATAATTTATGCCACAGTCATTTCTTATCTGAATTATCACAACATTTTACCTGATCTATTAGTCAACCATTAGTATGACAACAAGCAATCCCAAAATTATTGCTCTCATTACATGAGGGCTTTAATTTGACCTTGAGCTTGGCTGGGCTTGGCTGAGCTTAGTTGGGCTCCATGTGTCTTCCCATTGTGGCACCAGATGAAAGAGCAGCCCCCATTTGAGATTTACTAGTCTCACGACCAATGTCATAAGCTCAAGGGGGGTAAAGCCATATCATGCTCATTTGAAGCTTCTGCTTGGAGGTGGCTTATGTCATGTCCTTCAAGATTATTTTGGCTAAAGTGAGTCTCTTGGCCAAGCTCAAAGTCATTGGAGTAGGGAAGTATACTATGCCCATTGATGAATGTGGCAAAGGTAGAGAGAGTGCAAACAATTACGAACACTGAGTAACCTGCCTGTAGTTATGTTCCTCTCCAATTCCTTGTCTACACTATCCACCTCACAAACAAGATCACACAATACCCAGTAGCTTCAGGATTTTTAAGAACAGGGGTGAGGGAAGAATTAGTGACTTCTTCAGAGAAATGAGTCTTGAGAGATAAATAGAATTTTCTACAAGAGGAGAAGAAAGGAAGAACATTCTTGACTGAGAGTTCCAGAGCACAATAATAACATCCTTCTGATTGACTAGTTTATTTCTCTAAATCATTTAACTATGTAGACAGCTCTTCATAAGATTGTCTCAGTTGTAGTGCAATGATTTGTTGTATTGTCATCTTTACTCTGTCCCTGCACAACTGTGAACTTTTAAAAAAATCTTCATTTGAGAATATGTTTTTTTTAAATTGATGAGAGAGAGAGAAAAAGAGAGAGAGAGAGAGAGAGAGAGAGAGAGAGAGAGAGAGAGAAAGAGAGAGAGAGAGAGAAACACTGATGTGAGAGAAAAACATTGATTGGTTGCCTCCCATACATGCCTCGACAACTTAGGTATATGCCCTGACCAGGAATCAAACCCTCAACCTTTTGGAGTATGGGATGATGCTCTAACCATTTGAGCCCCCAGGCCAGGGCCAGTTGTGAACTTCTTGATGGCAGAAATCATCTGTCTTATTTCTTTGATTACCCAGTACCTCGCATGGTGCCTGGAAGGCAGTAGGCATTCAAATTACTTGAGGGGAACATTCCTATGTTCAAAAAAGTTTGTTTTAGGTAACTGGGCCATCTTAAAATCATGCTGCTGGTCTGAGACTGCTGGACAGTAACTGGCAAACAGACTGTCATTATCTAAATCCCATGGCATGCATGGTCCGAGACACTACTTCTATTAGCTCTTCCTTAAGTATCCTTACTTATTTCCTCTCCTAATTTGTCTTTTCTTACTTCTTCTTAAATATTGCTTCTTCAATTCATCAAGGCATATAAAATGTTAGCCTGCTTTCCTGACCTGGCAGCATCTGTGACCCTAAAGGAACTCATTATTCAGTCTTTCATGCAAATGCTTAATGCCATGTCAGAGGTTGACCTTTACCTTGCACCCTAGATACACACTTTTATCCAGCTTTAGGGCTTAACCTATACTTTCTCCATTTCTTACAAAGTAAAGGTTGAGTCCATTACTAAGATTTTTCATACCAGGTCCTTTACACACCTTTGTCCCTTATGTTTGCTGCTCTTCCCCTTGCACCTTCCTCCACAGACCATAAGCCTCAGCACATCCTGCTCTTCCACATCTCTAGACTTGGCTTTTGTTGATCCCCTTGCTAGGAACTCTTCCTCTTTGTCTTTGAGGAAAATCCTACTCATACTTCAAGGCTCTACTCTGTGAAGAGGTCATTATTTCTGCCTTTACTTCTCTACAATTGTCAAATGAATGAATGAATGATTTACTTGACAGTTCAGATTTATTTCATATTAATTTTCAACTTCTCTTTTCTATAAGATATTCTTTATTTTCCCCTTATTTGAACTATTGGTTTTACCAATTTATAAGCCCAATGCTGGCTGAGGCTCTAGACTTTATTTTTGTGCACAATTAGGTTTCTGCCTTCTGAAAATTCAAAACTTAAAACGGACATTATTCTCTCTGACAAGTCTTTTTTAAAAAAATCTTTATTGTTGAGAATATCACAGGTATTTTCACACACACACCCCACCCACCCCCCCGGTTTCTTCCATCTATCTGGTTTCTCCGACAAGTCTTAATATGATAGATATATCTGTAATAGTGTGGATTTCAAGGAAATAATGCATTTTTTAAAAAGCACAGATGAGTTATTATTATGGAAAATAAGAGGAAAATGGAATTGTATCATTCAAGAAGATGGGATGAGAAATAAATGACTATCTGACTTTCAGCCTATCAGACAGGCCTAATGATTCAGTGGAAGAGAGTGTATTGAGAAGTCTCAGTTCTAGTAGAGAACTTATGCCTGGACCCTGAAACCAGCAGCTTTAATCTGAATTTCAGCTCTACCACTTGGTTTGAGCAAGTGACAGAGGCCCCTGTGCCTTCATTTCCTTACTTGTAAGATTTGGGGGAATAACAGTGTGCACATCACAGGGTTGTTATGAGGACGAAATGAGTTAATATATGTAAAGCACTTAAAACGGTATTGGGCACATGGTTAAGTGTTATAAATTGCTATTTCTGCTTTGGAATTTCTCCCACTTTTTTTAAAGTTGGAGAACAAAAATCCTTGTTCTCACACTTCTGGGTTTCAACTGGGAAAATTAAAAAACAGTATAAAGCTTTAAAGTTCTAAAGAGATGCAGCTAAACACCTGTCCTAGGCTCCTCTTTCCCCTCCCCCACCCTCAACCACTTGAGGATGCTGCCCTCTGGTGGTCACTCAGAACTGCTATCTAGCTCATCATTCTAACTCAGGCCAGAATTTTCTTTGTCCCCATCTCCCTGTAACTTAAACTTTAATTTATCAGAAGTTAAAGTATTTCCCTCTGGGCATTGCTTGAAACGTAGCTGCTAAATCACAAAAACATATGTAGATTTCAAAAATTGGAATGATTATTAAATATTCTAATTTTTATTTTAATGGTTATAAACTATTAGGAGATAATATATGCAATTACAAAATGTATTGTCTAAGTCTTTTCATTGATATACATATTTAAAAAACAGATAACTAATAGCCAAGTACCTGAGGACCAAGTAGATATCTCTTTGTTACTGATTTAGACATTCCTTTTAAAAAAATATGAATGCTAGTTTAGGTATTATACTTCATATTAAAATTTGAATTCTTTTTTTTTTTTTTTTTTTTTTTACTAATTGTGCTTACTGAGTTTCAGAGCCTCGATAGCAACAGTCTCCACAGAGAGGAGTCTAGAGTATTTACTTTGCATTTGTAAGGCAAGAGGCAATTTCTCTCTAATAGTGTGTTGAACTGTTGTTCTTTTTTAATTTATTGGGGTGACATTGTTTAATAGGATCATAGAGTTTTCAGGTGTAGATTTCTAGGATACAAGATCTATATATTGTATTGTGTGCCCGCCTCCCAAAGTCAAATCTTCTGTCAACATATATTAGGTACCCTTCATCCCCACCCACCCATTCCTTTTGGCAACCACTACACTGCTATTTGTGTCCATGAGTTTCAGTTTTATATCCCACACATGAGTGAAACCATATGGTTCTTAGCTTTTTCTGACTGGCTTATTGCACTTAGCATAATATTCTCTAGATCCATCTGTGTTGTCACAAATGGCAGTATTTTGTTTTTTTTAATGGCTGAGTAGTATTCCATTGTGTGTATGTACCACATCTTCTTTATCCAATCCCCTATCGCAGGACACTTTGGTTGTCTCTATTATTCATTTAAAACTGCTAATCTGATATAATTTTTCCTGACATAAGTGGCATTTTTTCATCTAGCAACAAAGTATCTCCAAACTTCTTGTAGTTTGTGGGGCTGAAGTATCTCAAATGTGAACATCTTTGACACTAGGTAAGTATAGGTTTTCTCATTACATTGAAACCGGTTATTTGAATTTTTATAAGAGCTATAACTACTTGTAAGTGCTTAAGAAAAAAACATTTGCAGATATTTTAATTTTATGAGGACATACTATTGACTTTTTAAATTTCTTTTTACACTATAGTTTGAGTTTCATGTATTTTATATTCTTATTTTAGTAAAACATAACTGAGATTTCTACAGACCTTAAAACCACAGACAGTGGTTCTAATGGAATTGTGACTTCTGTAACAGATTTCAATAAAGTTGGACCAATAGCCAGGATCTCCAGCCAGGTTCTGTCAAATTTGAATTCTTTTATTAAAATTTTATTATTTTGGCAAAATGTTTTCTAGAATTGAGGAGACAAAAACTATCGTCATTAAAATGAGAATTCGTGCATGTGTATGAAGTCTATTAATATTCTAGATTGTATTATTTTTATCATCTTTAGTCTGCCCAACTGCCTAAACCCTATTTCTCCATGAATCTCATTTATAGGCATTTATTTTAAAGTGAAATTATGAAAAACTATTCTTTGCTAATTCTTTGGAAAACTTATGTAATTCTGGAATGTAGTCTGAAGCAGCTAGCTCACCTCTGCTGGGTGAACTGTTATGTCATTCCCAGCACCAAAAAAGAAACATCAGAAGATCGGTGACTATTTATTTACACATTTGTTATAGCTTCTACTTGAGAATAAAGAATGAGTTTGAACTCTAAAAGCTGAGCCTGCAGGAAGCCCCATCAGTCTCTCCACACTTCTGCTGTCATTCCTATTGTAGGGGAAACATTATTCAAACCACAGGCTCCAAACTCCCAGGTAACTGAAGCCAGCAGGAAGCTCTGTTTGATATCAAGTGTGTTCTTTATCAACCTTTTTGTTGTGATGGGAAGAAATGAACTAACTTTACTTTTATCTTGCCCTGTTTTAACATAACCCAGTAGGTGAATGCTTTATTGGTGTGTGTTGGCCAAACTCTTTGATATATACTGACTTTGTGGTCATAAATTTTCCAAATAAAAACAACAGCAATCGTTTTTCATCCATCTATACTAATCAGAAAATGTTACATGTTCATATATTTTTATTAAAACTATATTTGAAATTTTGCTTACAGAGGTTGCCATGGAAAACACAACTTGATTTTTCTTACAAGATTCTGGGAAACAGAAGCCCTTCTGCCATCACACAGAGAATCAAACATAACAATGCCACCTTGAACTTTGGGGTCAACATTAGAGACTCCACTGAATACTTGGTCTCAAAATGCTTTTTTTGTATTAGACTCGTGTAAAATAAGAGAATTAAGGGTTTTTATGTTTTCCCCCCACAAGTAGTTGATTTTCAGTGAACAAGATCATGATGCTTGTATTGTGCTGTTTGTTAGCAAAGGTACTTCTAATGCTCATATGCTTTTTGATATACCATTAAACCATACATTAAAGCTGTTCTTTGTTCTTTGTAGAATATTATTTGTGCAATCTCCGATTCAGTATCTGTGTTTTACAGGGAAGGAACAAATTTGAACAAAATATAGAAGGTTGAAGTAACACAGATTTAGAATGATTTTAACCTCATGTCTTTATCTTTCCTGCATTATTTTCTGTGATACATGGTCTCTTTGGTTGCTGAGTTTATTACAAATTCCCAGAATCCAAATAATTTAATTCAAGGGATTCAGGCTCTAACAGAAAGAAAAAAAAACATGAGAAAATTTTACTATTTCATTTTAACGCAACATTTTGCAATTTAAAGCTCATAAGTAATTCAAACACCAATTATTTTAGTGCTATTTTTATTCCAGTATTAGAGACATTATATTTGTTTAAATATTATTTAACCACTGTCTTGAGGAGGGCCAATTCATAGTTTGTTGAAGTTATACTCCATCAAAAGACAAATCTAACCAAGTATTAACCCACAATATGCTGGTAAATTTAGAATTACCATCAGAATCTCATTCCTTCTTATCTTCTTGGTAAGGTTCATATTAGCCTTAATTCCATTAGTTGGGAGGTTTTTGCTGATGGGAGTTAGTTAAGCATATTTGGTAAAAATGTGCCTATTTCTGTGGCTCCTGGGTACTCTTTCTCCCATTCGTTACTTTTACATTCGTATCCTGTTTTTAATCACTAGTAGCAGACAAATGCCAAATTAGATCTATAAGAGAATCCTTCAGCTGTTGGAAGTAGATTTTTGACACATCTGTTTTTGAAGGAAACAGGTATAATTAGCTATAAGAATTGAAAACAAATTATTTCTTTCAAATTAGAAAAAGACATTTTCAGGTTGAAAGGATGTCTGAGTAGAAGAGTGAGATAGAACACAAAATTTTAAGATGGCTGCATCTTTCTCAGGGAGATTTTTATATTGAGCATTCCTAGTGGAACATAATATGAAATTTTCTTGGCATTGGAGGACAAGCCTAGAGCAGAGAGAAAAGCTCTGTGGCCTTTCTTTGAGCAGGAGTCCATACTGGAGCAATCCTCTGCTGTGTGTATCTTCTCCTTCCCACTGGCCTTCTTCCTGGGCAGGAGCCCTCAGGAGATCTCAGCCCCTCGTGTCTGTGGCCAGAGGAAGAGGTTGAATGGTGTTTTCAGCAGCAAATGGCAGGTCCCATGGAAGGATGGTGGAATGGTCCAAAGGATGAGATGGAGGCCAAGTTTTCCACCTGAGGTTTTCTTTCTGCCCATTCCACCTCGTCTCTTTGCATTCTTTCCACTTTAAGAATGACAATTTTATTCTCAGATGTATGTCATCCCATAGCTGGAAGGCTTCTACATCCAGAGATGTAAAAGAAAAAACTCTTTAAACTCCATGGAATCCTTTTATGTGGAAAAGAACTAAAAAAAAAAAGTGGATCCATGTGTTCAAAGCTGGGTGGTTGTGCAAGGCAGCAGGTTGCTGATGTGTCTTTGCCAACCGACATCCACGCAGATGCATACCTCTTGAACACCACAAGGGCTCCTGACCTGCACCATCTCTGTATTGAATCAGGTAGAAGGTCACTGGCCACCAGACCATCTCTGCTGGCATTTCAGACCTCCTCAGGCTAAGGGAGCGAGGGGTCAGGGTTGTAGGGTGTGCAAGACTACATTCTGGTGGTTTTCATACTGGTTACAGGGGCTTCTAAAAATGCTTCCCAGGGAACTTGTTAAAGTCATAGTGTGTCTCACCAAATAGCTTTTAGAAATATTCGGTGTTTTTCTTCTTTTTTTTTTTTTGGTACACCTGAAATCCATACAATCCCATTAACCAATGTGGTGTTTTTCATTTTCAAAATGCTGCCTGTACTTTATCCAGTTCTTATGATATTGTTTCTGTTTGTGTGGTAACATTTGTTATCATAGACCCATTATAGAGAAAGAAAGGCCAAGACTATGAAAGGATAAAAATTGCCAACAAATGGAGGGCATCTCAGATCATGAATATTTGGGATTTTCTAATATCAGCCTCAGACAGCATTTAGGAACATTTTTACTTTATGAAAAAGAGTTATGCTGTCAGTTTACATTGGTAACTGTGGAGACCAAAATTTAATAAGATGGAGAACATACCAAACAAAGGGGGAAAATGTGTGAAAAATTAAAATGACAAACTGAGGTTGGTATGGTGTTGTAAAGACCATTTATGTATAGTCTGATGGAGCTAAATGAAATATGGACTCAACTTGTTAAAAAAGAATTTCAGATTTTATAGAAAATCTCTTCATAAATATAAAATTATACTTTTTATTCTTCTATAAATTTTAATATTTATTGACTGTTTTCACTACCATTTATTTTATTTATATTTAAATTGTAGTGGCTATGATTTCAAAAGCTCTGAATAAATTTTCTTAATTTCAAGTTAAATTTATTACTCTATTTTGGGATTTCTGGCAAGAAGTAAAAGACAGATACCCATTTGCTTTCCAATAAAATAGCAATTCATCTGATTTGTTAGCAGGAGCTTAGAGACTAATCCAATATGGAATAGTTCAATGCACATAATACAATTTCTCATTTTATACCTGTGATTCTGAAGTCCCTCCTGCTCATACATAAAGTGAGAAATATATTTCCAATGACAACAGTAACCATATACTTATAAGGACATTGCTGAAATTGAAGTGCAGGGTATGTTTGTATGTGTGTGTGTGTTGTTGTTGTTTTATTAACTCTAATATTATCCCAAACCTATCAGGGAATTTGGAGAGACTGACAGAGCAAAATGCAGTGAACATCCTGTGCTGATGGTCAGCACACACTCTGAGAACCTGATGAACAGCTTGACCCGACAGCCTTTGACGTCCATAGTGAGTGGCTCTGGCCACAGCTCTCAGGCATGAGAAGTGGGTTCTTCCAAAAGCAAACAACCTTCGACCCATGGTCTTCATTTGGGCCCATCAGGTCAACAGTTGTTTCACAGGACATCGGCAATTGTCTTTCTCTGTGTGTCAGGAGCCTCTTGAAACATTATACGAGGATAATTAAGTGGTGAATAAGGGTCAATGCGGACAAATAAATCAAACTGATAGTTTGAACACAGACTGATTGAGCAAAAACAAGGACTTCTGCCATGCCTGTTACTGCAGTGCTTGATGTTAACTGACTTTGTTAACATTACATCCAAAGGCAGCAAGTGGGAAAGCTTTGTGTGGAATCAAAAGCTGAGCAAAGAGACATGGGATTTAATTGTTCAGCTTTATTTTTGAAATAAAGACATGCAGCGCATCCATTTAGTTGACTTTAATGGAGCACAAAACCAAACCCATTCTTTAGCATGCTAATTGAGTTAGAAGATGCTTTCCTCTTGGATAACAGAGATGTAAGAAATACCAATGCAATCATCAGACTTTTAGAGCAGAAGTTCAGAGTTATAAATATGATGAGAAGTTAAGTATTTGTATCTGTTGAGGTAGGTTAAATATACTAGTAAATGTAATATAATCTTATAAATATTTTAAATCTTGTGTTACAAATCTGGTGGTACTATATATGTATATGAAACATTTGAAATCAAATATATTAATGTATGGAGGAGATTTTTGTTAGCAGAAGGGCAGCCTAGAAATCAGGAAAAGAACAAGAGAGAGGAAGAGAAAGACAGAGAGAATCCTTAAAAAGGCTTTTATATGCCCACAGGATTGTTCTAAGGGAAAAAATTATTAGAAAAAAATGTAAAGAATAAATCTGTCTTTTAATAAGAATAAAGAGCTGCTATTTTTTTTTTTACTGTAAACATGAATCTAGACTATTTTATTTGGGTATTGAAATTCAACTTTTCCTAG